GGGGGGGGGGGGGGGGGGGTAAGTGACGAACTTGAAATAAAAGTGAAAGTTGAGGAACTAGTTTGAAATTAAATAAATTTGGTGACTAACCATGTTATTAAAACTTTTTGGATATGGATATTTCTGCGTGACTAAGATGTGCATTGCCGCATGGACTCGAAACCCTTAAATAATAAGTAATTAATTTGGTAAAAATAATTGAAGAATCTTCCAACTTATAATTATATGGTATACACCGCCTCTGCTAGTCAATGGTGCATGTATCTTTCAATACATTATAGTTTTATATGCTTAGTTATTATTTTAATTTAAATTACATATATCAACCCTTGATCTTTGAAAATTTCACAAATAAGAGGGAAAATATTGTGAGAAATAATTTCCTTTCATAATTGATTATGTTCAATAAATTTATAACAAATGAAACTTCATTTCTATGGGAGTTTCTTTCATTTTTATTCTAAGTGTACTCTCTTTTTATTATTTTGTCACTCGATTAAAAACTTATTAATTTATTTGGGTATTTTGCGTCTTAAAACTCTTCTTATATGACCCAACTTCTATCACACTAGCCTGTTTGTACTATACGAGTCTCTACTAATACTCAATTGCACACATACTTACGTATTTAGGATTAATTTCTCTGGTGGTCATTGGACTTTACATCTCTAATGGTCATTGGACTTTATATTTAATGTCACTTTGATAACTGAAATTTAATTTGATTCAGGCTCAACATTGAAATTTACCAAAATGTGAAAATCATACATGTCCAAGTATCAAGTTAACAAATCGTTAATCTACGTGTAAGTTTTTGTTAAAAAATAGAAGCCAAATAAAATTACTGATTTGACTAAATACATTACATTTTAGAGAGTGACTCAGAAACGTCCTCATTATGTCCATACCCTATTGGTAAAAAATAGGTAGACCCATAAATATGCTAGGTGATCAGTGGCAGATTTAGGATTTCGAGTGAGCAAGGGCGGTCGTTGATCGTTAACCATTAATAATGACAATGAAAACCAATACCGTGAATTGAAATTACTTGTATCACAGTTCGAATTGCAAATGTAGATGTACGTTATCTACCGGTCTAATAATATTTATTGAGTAAGAATTTCAAGTTTGAAAAATTGATCAAATTACATACTTTCTTGGTTCGATTTGTTAATAATCCCAGTCTAGTAAAAAAAAAAGGACACCATTTTGGCAAAGATTTTGTCGTTGAATGTGTGAAGAAAAAATTGTGTCAATGATCATCCGAATTGCTAATTTTTTTCTCCTTTTACAGTCTCCAATGACAAAAATTAAAACAAATAATTTTTTGGGTTTTAAGAAATGTTAACTATCAATTTAATTTTCTTCTTCGTTATTTTTTCATATTTCAAAACATAGTTATCATATTCGATTCGATCGTTGACACGGACAAATTATCGGGTCATCGAGTTAGTTGTTTAACCGCTAAGTCATTGAAATGTCGAATTTTTGTTCAAAAAAATTAAAATAAAGAGACAATATATCAATTACTTTGCTAAAATTCAGCATATATATTTTTGTTACATTAAGAATTGCCATCAACTAAATACTATAGTGGTCAAGCTTCCAATAATTCCAAAGGATTGCCTATTATTGCACTTTTCAAATAAAACTAAACTTCTTATAATAGTGAAAAATATTAAAACAAAACATAAATGATTGATCTTGTGGAGACTCAAACTCAAAACTTCCACTTACTTGACGGGCACTCCAACCAATTGATCTACCATAATTTTTTGAAAATAAATTAAATTATATATATATATGTGTGTGTGTGTGTGTGATACAAAAAGATTTAATACCGACAGATCCAGCACGGGTGGCTGTCGGAGCTCACCGGGTGTTGGATCCGCCACTATAGGTGATTCTCAGCTAGTTTATGTAGTAGGTTTTCGAATGGCTGATGTGCATTATATTTATTAACGGGTAATTAGCACATAACATCGTTGCCTTTCACTGTTATTGTGCAAAGTGTCATTACCTTCCTTTTTTAACATTTTCACACTTAATTACATCTTTAACTATACAAAACATTATTTCCACCCATTTTCATCTAGTTTCTCCATTAAGTGAATGCTATTCTCGCCTTAAAATATTTTCCCCCTTTCTTCCCCATTTGAAAAATTTTCTCCTTTTTTTTCATTTGAAAAATAACCATATGCAAATTGAGGAAAAGAAGGATCAAATGCTACAGCAAAGAAGTCTCAAAATTACATCTTGGACTTGCAAAAATATGTGATACTGCAGATGAAACCTTCACTGCAATTCTTGGCCAATATGTATTTATTTATAGGAAACTGTATCATTTAAAATTTTCAAGTGTGCTGATGGCAGTTCGTGAAAAGATAATGTACTTGTTTGAAGGGTTAAACTCTAAGCCATCCACAGAAATATGCTTTCATTGGCTGGCAACTTGTAGCAACTCCTCCCATGTGGCAAGTTTTTCCCTAGATTTGTTTTTCAAATTTCCACGCTTTTCCTCTTTAGCTTCAATTTTTTCCCAGTCATCAAGGTCGACAGCTCTGATATTCCTACTTTCTAACGAATGAAATGGCTTGGCTGAGTTACATGTTTGTTAAATTTTAGAGGTCTAAGGCTCTTTTGAGAGAGCCCTTCAAAGTTTGTATGGAGGAGGAAGTGAAGGATATACCGGTTTTACAACATACCGGTTATTCATAGCATAAAACATAAAAAAACATAACAAAATCACTCTGCTGGTTTTCACCAGAACAGAGGAGAGGAAGGAGCTGTTGGGACTACATTTTTGGACGGTTTTTGGAGTATATTTTCTTCATATTTTTACATAACAACATGGCTCTATAAATAGCCAACTTGATAGACACTACAAGATTTTCCTACCAACTAATCTACTAACTTTCTAATACCATACTAGACAAGACTCTTGCTTGTAAAATACACAAA